ACAGAGAGACAGAGGAAGAGAGAGAAATATCCTAGTCACCTCATTCATTCCTCCAAATGGCCACGGCTACCAAGCAAGGGCTGGGCCAGTCCAAAGCTGGCAGCCAGGGGCATCTTTGGGTTTCCCACGTATGACCTGCAAGTGCTGCAAGCAGATGATTATCATGCTACACCAGTATGCCAACTACCATGTCTTTTTTACTACATTGATAAAGAGGTTCTCCAAAAAGATGGGGAAAATATACTCCTCACCAGGGACTCCACCATTACATCAACCACTTGCTTTACTTGGTAGGCTGATAGTACAGGCCTTATCTTCATGTGTGTGGAAGACAAAACTCAGTCTCATGGCAAAAGTGGTAATTTTCCATATGAACCGATATAGCAAAATACAACTTTTCTTTCACAATCAAGATTGTTTCTATAAAAGAGCCTGTGTTTACAGGTGACTTAAGTCATTGGAATCAAATAGTTGTTCATTCAGACAACATCCAAATTAAAAAAAAAAAAATCAGTAACAGCAAAAACTAAACTTGGAAATATTGACTTTGATTTTTTCCAAAGGTATTTCTCAGCCTCAGTAATTGCTGTTATTTAGCAAATTTCTCCCATTGGTAACCAATGACTTAGAAAAATCCCATCAATGACAATAATAAGGCATGTAAGCAATTAAATGTTTTCTTCCTTTTTTTATGATTTATTTTTATTGGAAAGTCAGATATACAGAGAGGAAGAGAGTATCTTCCATGTCATGATTCACTCCCCAAGTGCCCACACAGCAAAAGCTGAGCTGATCTGAAGCCAGGAGCCAGGAGCTTCCTCCAGGTCTCTCATGTAGGTACATGGTCCCAAGACTCTGTTCATTCCTTGATTGCTTTCCCAGGCCATAGGCACGGAGCTGCATGTGAAGTGGGGTTACTGGGATACAAATGGGCACCTATATGAGATCCTGGCGGTTGCAAGATGACTTTAGCCACTAGGCTACCATGCTGGGCCCAAATGTTTCATTTCTTATCTCAAGTAATGATGGCTTCAAAAGTTATGTAACATATAAAATGTTTTTAACTTAATAAATCATAATTATGACTGAATTTTTGTTATCAGTGTCAACTAGATCATTTTTTCTTGAGTGCCTGAGAAAAGACATGTTGATTAACTAAACTGTTGATTGAAAAATACCATGAAATATAGTATGCATACCAGCTTTAAGTGTTACATCTGTCTTCTTAAGATTTAAACAATCAGCAAATAACTCCAAATAACCTAAGAAAAAATATTATTGGTAACAGTTTTGGCTACCTACTTTCCCTGAGGAATCACCGTCACCAGGAACAGAGCCATGGCTTTTGTTTTCATTGAACCAAATTTAAAATATACTGCATTTTCACATTTCCATATAAAAATACTATTTCTGTTCAAAATACTTTCAACATTTACAATGGGATATATCACAGCAAAGCTTCTTTGTCCAGTCTCGCAAAAGTCAAAAGCACGTGAACATTATCTCTGGAAAAATGATCAGTTACAGCTTAGATTTGACTCAAGAGCATTGTGGAAATACTTCCGGGTTCTCAGTATCTGTACTTTTTCATGAATAGTGTGACTCTCCCTAGGGAACATACAATGTGGTATTTCTCGGATTTAATTGACCATCTTTGACCTCTTCGAGTTCTGCAAATTGTGGGCTACGCCAGAAAGTCAAGTTCAAAACTCAAGTCTGTTCCGTGCTAGCCAAATCCTTGGTAGTAAGCAGCACATCCCTGCCCCTGTCTAGAAAGGGGATTGTTTCCAGTTACCCTGAAGGAAGCTTTTGTTTGCTCAGCCTTTAGCTCTCAGGACTCCCTCTGCTCGAATTCTTATCAAGGAGCTGTGCAAGTTAGGGAGGGCCCTTCTCAGTCTTCCTTTCACTTTCGTTGCTCCAAGCCACTTGTACCCACAGAAAACCACAAGCTGTGTTTTTGTCTACCTTCGCTTAGAAAGGGCCTCCCCCAGATCTTTCACGTGCCTTGGTCCTGTCCTCCCTCCAGCGGTTTCATTTTATTCCTCATTGTCATTAAACACACTGTGCAAAAAAAAAAAAAAAAGTGCGTGGATTAAGGTTAGAGTTGTCACACTGTTAGGATTATTGGAATGTGTGTGTACAACTTCTATGAATATTCCTCCAACAAGCTCACACACATCACGGGTATAATGACTTAAACCCAGGAATGAAGCCAGGAAACCCTCTAAGGTAGAGTTTGCCAGGAATTAAAGATGACTCACCATTTGTCCTTCAAATCAGTATCCCAGTCAGAGAAAAGAATTTGGGGAGTCTCAGATACAGGCAGCCTGACCTCAGACGGAGACAGTTGATGGGAATACATTGAAGCTTCCCTCATATCTGAAAGTATAGCCCTGTTGGCAACAACCTACCTTAACATGCTGTGTTGGAAAAGGTGTTCTGGAAAGATTAGGAAAAGCTGGCGGAGAAAGGAACATCAGCTCTCCAGAAGCATATGTAAAAAGCAAGTTCATTGCTACTGGACTTGGAAGCAGTTTAGTTTCTAATCTAATCTATTTTTTGGGCAAGCCAACTCAGTTCACAATGACTTCATGATTTTCCTAGAAGCACTTGTTAAATTTTTTATTCTCTTTTACCTGTCCACTTATCAAGAAAACCTAACACTCAGAGCCTTAGTTCCATTGTGCCCTAGAAATAAAAAGCTATTTCCTTGTCTTAAAGTGGGTAATGGAACTCTTAGAGGTCAACTAAATATTCTTTATTGCTTTCCTGGAATTATTTGGCAATGGTATTACATTAATTCATAGCATTGGGTAATTTAAATTCTCCTAAAGTACTAATCATTAAGAATTTTCATTTAAATATCACCACTGAGACCTTTGTGCAAACAAATCCCCAGGAGCCAATAAATGATTCAGAATCAGATTTTCCTTTTCTATGCAATGTTGAGTGTCAATGCGGGAAAGAAATGTGCCTTATTTCCTCTAGAACATAAAATATTCCAACCTGCAAATTTAGTAAGTAAAGAAAATGTTAGAAATGTTTCCACGGAAATACATGTAGCTACTTTAAGCAAGTACTCGAATTAACTTGTCCCTTAACAGAAGAAAGCGAAGGAAGGGCTGAAAGTGGTTTAACAGGCTAATCTGTTGCCTGTGGCATCTGCACCTGCATCCCATGTGGGCACCTGGCTGCTCCACTAGCCATCTAGCTCCTTGCTAATGGTCTGGGAAAGCATCGGAGGATGGCCTGAGGCTTTGGTCCCCTGCAAACATGCAGAAAACATGGAAGAATCTACTGGTTTCTGCATTTGGATTTGCTCAGCTCTGGTCATTGAAGCCATTTGGATTTGCTCAGCTCTGGTCACTGAAGCCATTTGGGGAATGAACCAGCTAATGAAAGATTCTGTCTGTCTGTCTGTCTCTCTCTCTCTCTCTCTCTCGGTGGGGCGTCTCTGTAAAATCTGTCTCTCAAATGAAAACAGCCTTAGAAAAAGTAAATGCCATTGGGATCTTAAAAAAATGAAGTAGAAAACACCAGAGGAATTAAAACGATTTTAGTCAATCATACAGTTAGATCACCAAGATAACTCTGAGCCACATTTTCAAGAATTTATCCTTCTGCCTGTAGCAAAGATCCAAAATATATTTAAACTGTTTCTGCAAATTGTTTCTGGTTAAAATATTAATTTTTTTTTTTTTTTTTTTTTTTTGCTGCTTTGAACCTACTGGTCAAAGCTGACTGAATAATCTACTGGAACCCCAAAGACTATTTTAGGGAACAGATCTGTCTACATATCCCAGAAGGGCAATTTAATTAATTTTATGGCAGTGCTTAACCTCTCTCAATGTCAGCACTATTTAATATCTCAATCTCAATTTGCTTGTGAAAATGTGAATAATGACAGTACCCAATACCACAAGTTAATGTGGGAATTAAATGGAATAAAGCATCAACGTGTTTACTTAACACATAACTATTCAATACATGTCAGGTATTATAAACTCCGATACTAGTTTGAATTGAATTTGTATTACAACACATTCATCTGATTGCATATCTCAAAGGCAAAACGGGAACTCTCATTTTAAATGCTTACTGAGGGATCTGTGAGTTTTCAACTCATCCAATTACTAACAACACCCAACTGTTTCAAGGTGCTAGAGTTCCTAGGCAGCCAGAATACTATGTCTTCACTGCAAATTGGTGAGGCTACTCTCCAGCAGCCTAGTTCCCTGCCCTGCCCTGATCAGGAAACAGGCTGGAATCCAACCAACTTCTCAACTCAGAGTGTTTGTGTCTGGGAGTCACATCTACAACTCCATGAGTTACAGCTTGTGATAGTGAGAGCTTTTTCAAGATGCCTATTTTCAAGTCAAGATATATTAAGTGTGAATGGGAAACCAGTATGAGCGTGGACAACCCAGGCACGTCAGGAAATGGCTCGGTTGGGTAAAGGTATTTTCCAGGTCTACAGACAATCTCTGAAAGTACTCTTTCAAAAAATTTTGGAGACTTTTGAGAACAAAGTCTTACCAATCGTAATATAAATGTCTGAGGTTACTAGCATTCATTTCGTTCTCATGAAGAAATAGTTTCAGAGACATCAAAGCACAATTTTAGTGAATTTAAAGGTAAGTCTGTTTAGTTAGAAAAGAAAAATGATCGCTTGCTGAAGAAGCCTTGGTAAATTGAACAATCAATATTCAAAAGTACAAATTTCTGTGAAATCATTCATGATGGAAATGGATGCTATTCACTCTTTAAAGGATCTTATCCATAACTGATAAAAAAAAATCAATCCATATGGAAAATTTGATACATTGATATCTATATCAATCCTTTTGAGAAAATATCTTAACATTTATATGATAATTTGGGCTTTATATGACTGAAAGCTAGAATTGTGTTATTTTTAGCACTTTAAAATTATTTTAAACATACATATGAATACAACTATATAAACCGATGTACATATATTAATCAGGAACACCACTTACTGTCATCTCATTCATGCTCAGGAGCATGGGGCTGGGTGGCAAGGTGCCAAGGCGAAATTTGAAACCTTCTTCCAACGTCATTCCCCAGAATTGGCTGTAGTTCTGTGCTGTCCATCTGCCTTGCAAATGAAGAAAAAATACATATACAGTATAGGATGTCATTTTTATAAATACATATTCATGCATATTTCTGAAATTACACAGTAGCAAATGTCACAAAATGACAACTATTACTGCAGATTAGATCATCTTTATATAATGGTGCAGTATTGATTGTTCTGATAAGCGTATGAAGCACTCATTCTAAATTAGATCCAATTCAATTATTTTAGTGGTTCATTAGAGCACTCTAAAACCACATCCATATAGAACAAAACTAAGCATGTAGAATCCTTTTCTATTGTAAAGAATTTGTCAACACATACAATTTCTTTAAATAGGAGGGCTGAACATATGTAAGTGTACCATAGGGCAACATTTTTGTCATTTAGAATCGAATAGAGACTCACCAAGGAAAAAGAACTAAGAAAAGTTGAGTACAAAACAGTTATACTTTTAGGAATTTATATCAGTGATAATTTAGATTTTAAAAGTTTTAAATCAGTTAATTTGTGTTAAGTATTGAATACTCTTAGTTATTAATTAGAATATAAAACTAATTGTGCCAATTAGGCTAAAAACTACTTATTTCCTAGAGATATATTGTATGTGCTTACCATAGAAAGAGACAGCTCATTTTCAAACTCTATTATTAAAATTTGAAGATTGGAATTCTTAAGATAATAGTAAGCTAATCATTATTTGTATATCTTGTAACTGGAGGGCAATATATTTTCAGTACTTAAATCAAATCTAAATTGCATCCATTTCTGTTTATCAGCAAAATTGTTTATGATAGACTTTTGAAAGATTAAAAATACAACTCAATTTTCAATAATTTTCCTGACAAGTTAATGCTTTTTTATAAGATCTGTTGTTTCACAAAATCTTCAGTAATGTTGCCTATAATTTTCAAACACAATCTCCATTAGCCAGCAGAATTTAATAAGGAAACTTTGAATATATTAGATATTGCAGTGTTACAGAAGCAACACCAAACTTGAAACTGATCGTGACATATCTACAGTATGTTTTGGTGCCTTAAGCTATTGCTTTCCAATCATCATTTTAGAGATACTTATAAGACAACACCTGAGTATGGTGAGCAACAAAGAAATGAAAGAAATAATCAGGACTACTGGAATAGATGGCAAAGAATAAAAGCAAGTGGGGATTATGTGTAGCTCTGAGTAAGAATGTGGTACTAGATTACAGGTAAAATGTATGTTTTATTGTGACATATACTCAACAATATTTGAAACATGCTATTACCTTATATTATCCTCCTTGAATAGACTCATAACTCTTCTTTTAACTCACATTAGCATTTATTGAACTTTCTTAATTTATGCATTATGTTCTGTGTAACAGAGATGAATAAAGCTCTCTATGCTCAAGGGGCCTGAAAATAACCAGGACTACAAAGCCAAAAGTCTTCAGTATGTGTCGTTTATCAAATAGAGGATTCAAGCACTTTGTGGCCTGAAGGCATTGCCACATCTTTTTCAGACATTGAATGTAATGCTGCCTGGAAGCATGAGAGTGAATTTGGAGACTAAAATGTGATGAAGAGAGCACTTATTCAAAATACAGGCAACTCCTGAGTGGTGTATGTACATTTGGAATTGGGTGACACATACAGTGTAGCTTGTTAAATGTTCAACTTATGAGCATGTAGAGAAGCAGGATATAATGCGTGCAAAGGCAGAAAAGTAAAAAAAGAATTTGGGCCTGATAGTTATTTATGTTTAGGAGAACAATTATATTCCACAAGCAAACGGGTGGCATTGAGGATTATTAAAAGCACGAGTGCAGTATCAAAGCTTTGTTTTAGCGAGAATGCATATGACCTATCAGTTAAGGCACCCACATATAGAAGTGCTTGGGATTTGGGTTCAAGTCCCAGCTCTGCTTTCTGTCCCAGTTTCCTACAAACACAGACCTTGGGAGGCAAAATATGTAAAATATTCAAGTACCTTAGTCTCTGTAACCCACTGTGACTGCATCCTTGGCTCCAGTTTTAGGATTTAAGGCATGAATCAGCAGTGAATTTCTCTCTCTCTCTCTGTGAGATTCTTTCCCATTCCCTCTCCCCCTTTCAAATAAATAAAAATCAACAATCATTTTTTAAAATAGCCATAATATACCAGCATGTTGCCTACAGCACTTGAGTCACCATCTCAGAAACCTGCATCCCATATTGGAATGCCAGGGATCAAAGTCTGGCTCTGCTTTCAATCCAACTTCTTTCCAAAGAAACGTCCTGGGATGTAGCCAGTGATGGCACCAATACTTGTATTCCTGACACCCCTGGGAAAGCCTAGATTGAGTTCTGGAATCCTTCAGGCCTCCTCAGTCCTAGAAGCTATAGGTATTTATGAAGTGAACTAACAAAAGGAAAATGTTTGTCCATTTCTCTCTCTCTTTCTCCCTCTTTTTTCCTCCCTCTTTTACCAATCCATGCCCTCTGACTCCCTCACTCCTTTCTTGCAAACATAAAGGAAATGCATGTTTAACTTTTTTATTCAGTGGTTCATTAAGCCTTTCTCTGTAATCTAAATTCAAATCTTATCTCAAAAATAGAAAAATAAAAAGTGAAAAATATAAACCTTTAAAAACTTCCAATGCATAATAGCAACAAGCCATTCCAAATTAAGTAGAGAAAAAATGAAGAGACATTAATTAGCTAATTAGCTGCTGCTCTTTCCATGCAGAAGTGGCTTCTCTTGCCCTATCCTTTGAGTATACGCTGGCCTGGTAACTCACTGAGCTCAGCAGAAAGTGATAGAATTTTTGATGAGCAGCTTTCAATCTTAGGTCTCAAGACAGAGCTGCTACAGATTCCACTTATGCCCTATTAGCACGCTTTCACACGGCAGCTGGAGACTCGTGGCCCAGTTAAGAGCAAGCACCAAGCACCAAACATGGGAGCAAGGCCATCTCACATAATTACACCTCCATGAGGCTCTGGACGTCTACAGGCAGATAAGTAATGCTAGAAGGGAGGAACAGAACAGCCTTAACTGCTTCTGTTCCAAATGGTCAATGCAAATAAAAAGCTTGCTGTTTGAAAGGACTCGATTCTGGAATGATCCTCACATGGAAAAAGATGGCTGAAATGTTAATGCATCTTTCTTTATTCTGCTTACTTACTGATTTTAATTAGTGACTTGACATCTACATGCTGCTCAATTGTTAGAGAGTATTTTGCAAAGATGAAAACATTGGTTCCTCAATTAGTTGGTAAATCTCTTTAACATAGAAATTATCTGCTTGTATTCTCAGCAACATTACACATTCAAAACTTATTCACGTTACTATTAATGGGTTACATTGTAAATTAATTTAAAAAATAAGCACTGAGCTGTGTTTTGTAGAATGAGTAGTATCTTGGATCCAAAATTCTGCCAAGAATCAGGAAAGAAGCTTTTAAAGGACAAATTGTATGCAAGATATTAAAAGGTAGACTATTTTTAAAAAATACATAAATATTCAGTAATTATACTATTGTTTTCATACATGTAAACAACTTGAGTATAACATTTTCTCTTATAATTTCAGTATTATTGATTTGTAACTTGTTGCTTTTAGTTTTGTCTTATGTATGCTTGCTTTGCATCAATTATATTTCACTTTTTGCTTTTTTCTGGTATATAATGTTTTTGTGTTTGCTGCTATAATGCAAAGCAATGGGAAGTCCTTCCTTCTGAGGAAGACACATTCCCAGCACCTTCCATATGCTCAGTGTGCCATGTTTACCCATTGCTTTAGGCTAGGATTTCTCATGCATTCAGAAAACAATGGAAAGCTAGATCACTAATAAACTTTCTTGAAAGGGTGCACTGGTTATTTTCACCTTTTGAATCATTTTAGAATTCATTTTAAATCATCTTAGAGATAACATACATGCTTTCAGTGTCACTTTGCCATGGAAAATTGTATTTTCCCCAGAAATATTCAAAATTTTATCACATTATTGTGTAAAATATCGGATGAACACACACTGAAAATGATTTTAAAATATTGGTGCCACCAAATAGGACTTTATGTATTTTCTGTCTTTGAGGTAAATGCATTGGGAAATTCACTGACTCACATGGAAAGAAATGAGATTTCTATTTATCAAAACAATGCTACTCCAGATTGCATCACTCTTCTAGTTGTTTGGCAACACACATTTTTTATGTGAAATACTTTTACAAGGTGGAAAATGTTATCAAAGATATATAGAGATTTGATCAATGGTAGTGGAGAAAACCTGAGGCAGATTTTAGGCAGTCTATTCGTCTTAGTTCTGTAGAGAAAACAATGTTAGTGTTTTTATGAGAGTGAAGAAAACATTTAATATAACAAGCTTTGTGAGAACATCACAGGTCTCTCCAATGCCCATGTGTCACCCATGCCCACCTTTAGCTCACTAGCAAAGTGTCTACAACTTGTTTTTAAACTCGATTATAATTCACATTTGAGGGCCTAGCAGCTTAAGTCCTCGCCTTGAAAGTCCGGGATCCCATATGGGCACCGGTTCTAATCCTGGTAGCTCCACTTCCCATCCAATTCCCTGCTCATGGCCTGGGAAAGCAGTTCTAGGATGGCCCAAAGCCTCGGGATCCTGCACCCACGTGGGAGACCCAGAAGAGCTCCTGGCTTCTGGCTTCACATTGGTGCAGCAACGGCCATTGTAGTCACTTGGGAAGGTGAATCATTGGACGGAAGATCTTCCTCTCTGTCTCTCCTCCTCTCTGTATATCTGGCTTTGCAATAAAAATAAAATAAATCTTTAAACAACAACAAAAAATATTTAAAAAATAATTCATATTTGAGAGATGCCAATCATTTTAGTGAAAATTTTTTTAAAGACTGACCTGTCATGGGCTGAGACAAAATGCATTCAGGTCTGACTCACCTCAGGACAGCTGAAAGTACTTAAATTTTACTTCAGTAATGTAGCAGCAGAGGGAAAGCCCATTAATGTAAATAAAGGAATTTCTATAAGCTCAACTTTCTGATTTTGCTTTAA